AGAAGAGGAACTGACACGTGTGTGTGCCAGTCATTGTACTAGGATGCTACGAGCCTCTGCCACAGCTGTGGGGTCATGAAGCAGATACCATGACTTCCACAAGATGGAAGATGAAATGAGAACTTTCTGTATCAGCAGACAGAAGAGCCTAAGTGGAATTTAACTCAGTGCAGGAATTCTGATCTTTCCATCACACTGCGTACACTGCCTCCATTTGAGCACTAATGAAAACTTGTAGAAGGCCAGAAAACTGTGTCTATCACTCATTATGAATCTGAGGCTTAGTCCACTGAATCCTTAATTTCTGTGTTCAGTTACACATTCTGTTCCATGAAAATTTAAGTAAATTATCCATAAACCAGGAAATCTATTGCTCAAGCTCAAATTCTCAGGCTGGACCTATGCGATTCAGATACAATTGGTGCCAAGACCCATGCTATTCACATCAAAAGTAATCACTCAAGGGAGTCACATCTGAGATGACCACGGTGGCCACCCCTTCCCAGGGAGAGGCCCTCCAAAGGCAGGGGACCGCCTTCCTCCTGCCCTCGCCTTGCCCTCCCTGAAATGGCATCACAAGGAAACACTGAACCCCGCTCAGCCCCACACACGCAGAGGGCAGGCCACCTTGCCGCTTCCCCAAAGCAGGGCTGGTCTGAGCATCTGGGCATGTGAGATCACCAACTGCACGGAGCCTTGGCAGAGGCAAGCCACAGCAGGCGGACGGCAGAGCGGAGCAGCAGCTTTTGTTAAGTCTTGAACATTATTTCGGCACTGCTCTTTAGATTTAAGCTCCCGCAGTTCTTTCCATAATAGCTGAGAGAAATAAAAACACTGCCTCCACTCTCCTCCCTGCCGCCCTTGCATGCACCACACACACCTACCTCCTCCTCCCCCGGTGGCGGCATTCTGAATGCCTGTCCTCCAGCCTGGCCACCACAAGTTTAGGATTGTTCATCCCTTCTCCTGGGGCTGGAGGGCTGCTGTCAGAGTTCAGCTGGGATTTGGACAGCAGGCCAGCCAGGTCCCTTGGTGACTTTCCTAGACTTATTGTCTGCACTTGGGGAAGGTGACAGGTGTGCATGGGGGCAGTTTGCAGAGAATCAATCCCTATTTGTACCAGCTCATCGCACACTGGGCAGAATCTTCAGCTCCCTGATGATGAAAGGTTTATGAAATGCAATCCTGACTGCCCTCTCTTCAGAAGTTAAAGACCTCCTTTGTTTCCCTTCCTTACTTCTTATGCCCCTTCCTTCTTCTTTATCTGCAAAAAGCAGAATCATTTCTGTATTGAAGTTCTGTTAACTTCAAGGAGTGTGGATGGCAGAGACTACCATTTTGTGTAGAAATTTGTGGCCCCTTTCCTGATATTAACTTTGCCTTAGGACATTTATCCTTCTCTGAACAATAGCTGACCCTAGAACTGGCAAATAAATGGTGCACAGCATGAGTATGGCTGCCCCCAGGGGCAGTGTGGTGCTGTACACCTGATGAGGAGGAACATTTGAGGACTCCAACTCAGAAGAAGGAGCTGTGATTGTTGAGTAGGGCACTGCTATTTCAGTGTCCTTTCGAATCACAAATTCCTCCAATCAGAGTCTCATCACTCATTGCCTACCAGTAGTCAGAGAACTCCCTATGACTGTAGACACAGGCCGCCCCGAGATGGCACAGGCTACCCCGAGAGATAAGCACTTATGTAGAGCTGCTGTAGCAATGGGCATTTATGGCTCCAGGCCTCATAGATCCTGAGACTTAAAGAGAAAATGCGAAGAAAGAAAGCTGCCTCCATCCATGTGACCCATTTCACTCAGTGGGGAATGGGTCTAGTTGAGCAAAATTCTGCATGGATAGTGAAGAGTCTGCCTTGCAATCTGTAATTACAGCATTGAGCTTTGAATGATCCAACAGGGCCCTTCTGATGGCACTGAGCTAAGCCCCTGAGGGAGGAAAAGAAACAATGCCTCCTCCCACCGGAAGTTAACTGGATGCTTTTGCAAAACTCGAAGGCCACTGGGAAATTGTACTCAAAGTGGTAAATTCAACCATTGAAAGAGACACAAGTCTCTGGATAGTTCAGTGGTTAGCAGCACTCAAAGCCTGAATTAGACTTGGTTCTGCAGTCCCTGAGGCCTCAATGAATGTGCAAGAAGCACTTGGAGGCTGAGCTGTGTGAGAGGCTCCGTTACCAAGCCCAGTTCACTTCTCCCAGTGACATAGGGGCCACATCAGTCTCAAGTTGATTCCAATAAAAAAAAGGAAAATTAAGGGGTGACTGTGATCTATGGCTATGGGTGCATGGGTTCATGGGTGACGGCTGGAGGGAAGGAGGTAACTCCCCTGAAGTCCCACAGGCGCTAATGGACAGATGCTGAGATCTAAACCTTGGCACAGGCAGCTTCAGTCCCTGAGCTTAGTCAAAAGTTACACAGAAAAAATAAAGTTATGTGGAGGACAGTGAAGGCCACTACATTGCCTTTGGGCAGAAAGTAACTCTGAAGCATCAGACCTTACTTAATTTTGTTAAATTTCATTGAAATATAGCACAGTAGAATGGAAAATCTCAGACAGATCTTTAGGACCCAGATTTATCATGGTATTTCCATTTGCAGCCTTTTTGGGTAAACCTTCTTCCTGCAGTACTCTTCTCTGTGCTTTAGACCTAGTAGCTCTCCCTCTGTCATGAGGCAGGTCATGACTTCCATCAGCGCCACATGACTCTAGAAAACTGTCATAAGAAAACAGCAATCTATCACGAGCTGCTGGATAAAATTCATTATATATACCAATAATTTGCAAGCCAATCACATAATAGCAAAAGCACTATATAGGTTTTCCTTCATTTTTATATCAGCATATGTGCTATTTTACAATGCATAATATTTTGTAATCTCATATCAATAAATTAGCAAAAAGATTATATGTAAGAATGATCTGACAGCCATTTGGGTCTCTTACAGTCTTTAGCATAGGATATTCTATTTGGGGTTGATTTGAGAGATAAATGCTTAGAGTCAAATCCTAACTCCTTGCCTTAAGAGTTCTCTAGCTGTGGACAACATTGTTTCTGAGCCTTAAGGTCCTCATCTAATAAACCGACATGAAAATAGCACTGCTATATAGGTTGTGAGGATTTGATGATAAACATGCACACAAACACTGTGGATCATGCCTGGGACATAACCAATGCTCAAGAAATAGTGGCTAAGATGATTAATTCCTGAAGATTGTTACACATACAGTTCTGGGATTAATGAGAATTGCTAACTAAATGGGCCAAAGATAGTTTACAGTGGGGACATCTGCAAATATTAGTGTCTCTGGCTCTGCAGGTTGGGACTGAAGACTGTCCACAACCTGTGGACGTCATTGTCATTCCGGAGAGAACAGCAGTGTGGCGAAGGAAGCCACTCTTCTGTCCACACTGCTCTGTTATCACCTGCTGTCACGGTTGCCCACAGCCTTTAATTACACATCACTATGCCGAGCACTCACAAAAGACTCCTATAGATAAGATTTGTGTTCACTCGGAGCTCACCGTATCCAGGAGATTCTGATGGACATGTGAATTAGGACTTAATGGCAGAAGAAAAGAAACGCCAGGTATATAAAACACCTTTCAAAATGGAAGAAGCCTGAGGAATTGTTCCTGTCTCAGACTTTGTAGACAAGGGATCAAGGTAGACAGAGGGAAAGTGGCCCTCAGCTGGCGTGGCACTGGGATGTGGATCCAAGCCGGAACCCCGGGTCCTTCCGGTTAGGGTTGCCGAGTCAGACACCTCTGGGGGGAAGCTGCCCACATTGACACTGAACAGACTGGGAAGACATATGTCCTGATAGACATATGGAAGTGGGCCTGATGCTTCCCTGCCACCTTCGTGACCGTGAATATTAACACTCCAGTGCTTTGGTTCTACTCAGTCTGAGACCATGTATTAAAATTTACATGGGAACCATAAGGAAGTACCTGTGAAGTCTGGAACAATATTTCAAATATGCATTTTGAAGACTATTGTGACAGGAATTTGCCCTGATCTGCGAGGGAAAGCTTTGTGAGGAAATAAGTTTTCCAGTATTTTTATTTATTTCATACAACTTGCTGCCCATAAGAGAAAGCCAAAATTGAGGATCATCACAAATTCCTCAGATCTTACAACCAGATCTCCACCACAACTGTCGAGTCCTTACTCTTACCTGTTGCCGAGGAGGTCAGTGTGTAAAACCTCGAGAATATCTAATCACTATACACGTAGTCTACAGGCAGAAAGTCCCTCATTTGTCTACCTTAACTCTGTCCTGCTGTAGTTGAAATCATTTGTGCTTGCAATATGCTTTTCAGAGACTCTAGGTTAAGGAATGAACTCACCTCTCTCTTTGGGGAAGGTTTTCCGTATTCAGTGTTAGACTTGCTCCTCGAATCCCGCACGCTTTATCGCTTTTCGTGGCGTCACACAACTGACTTCAAGAAACAAAGTGAAGGAAAAATAGGAGTGAAATAGGTATTCTGAGACAGGAGTGAGGGAGAAAGGAAACATGAAATTATTTGATATTAAGTGGAAGTGTAGATGAGAGGAAGAGAAAGAGCCCTGTCCCTGAATGATATTTCCATCAGAGAGAAAAATAGGAGGCAATGAATGGGATTTGACTCTCATCCTTACAAGTTTAACTGAGCACGAAAACGTTCCTTTAAAATTTCCTGTAAGCAGTCGCTGGCTATGGGGTTTTATTCAGTGTAAAAGGAAACTGAGTTCAAGAGGCCAGGGGACGCCTCAGGGGAGAGGGATTTTCTGATGCTCTGGGAGCCTGAGACTGTCAGCTTAAAAAATGCAAGTAATATAGGAGGGGCAAAGTGGAATTTATCATGCTATCTCTCCAGGCTCCTGTCTCTTTAATCAGCTAGCCTGATTTGCCCAGTAAATGATTCCTGTGTGTGTGTGTGTGTGTGTGTGTGTGTGTGTGTCTGTGCGCGCGCGCACCCCGCACGCGTGTGTTGTAGCTCTGTCAATCCTTGAATTAGAACCAATGATTGCAGCTTGTAGGAGGGCTGTCCAGGGCCAGCTTGTACAACGTGCCTCTGTACCAGAGTATGAGCGGAGATAATTACGGGGAAGTCACACTCTCTCACACCCTCGGCTTCCTTGTGTCCTTCAGCCAAACAGTGGATTTAAACCACATTGTACCAGCTTGAGAGCAGCACCATCTATCAGGAAAAAAGAAAAGAGAGGAAGAGGAGAGAGAGAAAGGAAAAAAAAATTGAACCTGACAAAACAGAAGAAAAAGAAGAAGAAAAAACATCATGAAAACCATTCAGGCAAAAATGCACAGTTCTGTCTCTTGGGCAGTCTTCACGGGGCTGGCTGCTCTGTGTCTCTTCCAAGGTAAGAACCTTGCTGTTGATTTGCCTGCGGTGGATGGGAACGGTACCCAGAGCTTTTTATGATTCACAGCCTCCTGAGCCGGCTCTGCTGCGCCGTTTGCAGGTGGAAGAGAGAGCGCTTACCCAGCATGGCTGGGACTTCATTCTCCCGACCAGGCTGTAGGAATAGCGATTTGGTTCTGGCTGCTCCCAGAACAGGGGGTGTCTATGCATAAGGAAAACCAGTCTGCTGCTCTGGTCAGGTCTCCTGTTCCGTGCTGGGGCTGCCTGGCTTGCTGCACATTCTTGCACACATACACATCAGAGCACGCGTGCAAGCCAGGGAAAATCACAGATGGGGAGGGCGGCGCGGTTGCTAATGTGTTGCTTATGAGACTGGGAAGAAATTACAGAAGGAAACTTTAAATATCGGCCGGTGAACTTGCAAAGCTTCCAAAAGCATCAAAGCAGAGAATGCAGGCTGGGAATTACCAGGCGCCGCCGCCGGTAAGGTGCTGGTCAGCGGTCTTGCTTCAAGGGATGAATCAAATCTGCGGCAGTGCTGAACAACCGAGTTAGTTCCGAATGCACTGGGGGTGGGGGCTGGGCGGAGGTGGGAGCTGCGGGTAAGAAAGATAAAAGGCAGCGGGAGCAAAGGCTCCAAATTCAGGAACGCTGCTCTAAGTTGAAAGGAGAGAGGCTGGCCGGAAGAGCCGAATGCTAATTGCTGTTTGTTTATTGGGCTGGGAGCCCCGGCAGGGTTGAGGTTCAGGCCGAGCTGGAGCTCGCTGTCCAGCCAGGGGCGTTCTGGTGCCTGCTGCACTGGGTCCGGGTCCATTCTGCTCTGCCTCGCCTTGAGTCTGTTTGCTGCACTGTGTGGCCCCCGCCCCTTCCTGGCACTCGCGTTCCTTAGGGTAGCGGAATTAGACGTTGACCTGCTCCTTTCCATGCACCAGATCTTCTGGGGCTCTGTTTGCTTGTTTCCTGTCACAGAGCCTGAACTCACGGTGAGGCAGGCAGAGAAACTTTCCCTGGGAGGTCCAGCGGGGCTCTCTAGCAGGCGCCAGCCACAGCGAGGCAGCAGCGGGAGGGAGGCTGTTTCCTATGCAGGTGCATGCCCAGGGGAGAGTTCTCTGTCAGGTGAGAAAGGACAGGCAGGTGTGCCTGTGCCTCCTCCTCTCCCACTGCCACATGGGTCTTTTGGGGTCTCGGTCTGCTCTTGCTGACCACTTCCGAGGTGAGGCTGTGAGAGCTGCCACTATGCCTAGCAGACCCAGAGAATGTGGCCAGAAGGGACCAGCCTAGGAAGAATCAAACGTTCTGCACCCTTGGCTGGTGCTCAGGAAGGAAGGAGGGTGTACCCCAGGGAGTCGCGTGGGAAAACAAGGGGCCTGGAGGGTGATCTTGCAGGGATATCCATGACGTCGCCGGGTGTGCCCACCAAGGAGTGTGGGTTTCCACACTCTGCTCTCCCCTGGGGCACTGGTGGGCGTGAGAGTGAAGGAGCCAACTTCCAGGCATCCTCGCCTGACCCCTCTTACATAACGGGGGAAGCAGGAGCTTGCGCTGTGCGCTGTGTGGCCCTGGGTGAGCAGGGACTGGCGCGCTGGGCTCAGGACCCCTCCCCAAGACTCACAGTTGGGAAACTGCATTGGAGACCAGAAACCTTCAGGAGAGCATCTCACATCCTAACAACAGAAATGAAAACTCCCTGGCCCAGGTGCACCGAGGGAGGAGTCAGAGGAAGGCCAAGGACCAGTCCAGAGCCCTGAGTAGTTTCCATCAGTCCTGAGAACCACATCTCCTGTCCTCGAACCTCAGCCTGGACACGGTGGCCCCAGTGCCTCCATCCACAGCTCCGATGGTTGCAGTCCAGGAGCCCCAGGGCCATGCTGAATTTACATATAAATTAGCATGTGTGATTTTTTTTTTCCCTCAGAAATAAATGCAGGGAAGCATAATCTTTGCTCATACTTTGAAGCATCCTGGAATATATGAGTAGAAATTGGTGGTGCAGTTTTCCCTGGGGTGACATCTAGTTTAGTGTGGTCTTCTTCCTATCTTGGGGTTAGGGTAGTGGTAAAGGATGGTCATATTCTACCAAATCCTGAATTTTGTAAGGGGAGCATTGCTTTTATTTGGGCCAGCCATTTCCAGTCAGCTGTGACTATACCGCAATGTGTCATAATAGATCAAGATTGCCCAATTTTAAGGCACAATGACCCGCCAAAGACCCCTTTAACACACCACTCAGACCCAGCAAAGGTGCTGTCTGTTTTTTCTCTCAGGGGAAAGCAGCAGCATCTGCCAGCTCTCTCTTATCAAACTTGCAGAATTACCAAGGCAGCCCAAGTCTTGCTGCCATAACCCACCCTATTTCATGGACCCAGTGGGACTAGTTAGAATGCAGCGCACACTGGAATGCAATTTTTTCTTCTCCTCTGTTTTTGTTTTAAGCTGGCTCTTTCCGGGGCTGCTGGTCTCTAGGTTTTCTGCCTTCTGAAAGGTGTGTGATGTTAGTGGCATGTTATTGATCCTTCCCAGGTCTGCTCTTCCTATCCCAAACCCACAGGCAACTGAGATCAGACTTAGGATGGGGGGATTTTGGAGGGACTCGGTGCTGATTAGTGTGGATGTTGTCAAGAGGGGGTGATTAGCTCCCCAGGGCTCTGGGCCTCAGATTCAAGGGCTGATTAACTCGAGACCCTTCTTTCCTGGGAGTGGAGTGAGAAGCTGGATGGGGGACTGTCCTTCCAGCATACCACCCACCTTCTGTTCTGCCCCCAGAGAGGTTCTGGAGGGAAGGGCTAACTGTGCTGCAGAATTTCTCTTTTGAGAAACCCAGAAACCATGCCTCCTGCCTCCTTGGAAAGATTATTGTTCTCTTCAACACCTTCCTACTAGCTACGCCAGATTCCTTTCATACTTTTCTAATTTTCAGTCCCTCCTGATCCTAGGTCAACTTAGCTGCTGGCCAGAGACAGACTGGGGAGAGAAGGGAGAGTTCTCACTCACTCTCCTTAGCTCAGTGCCAAGGCCATGGGCACCCTTCATTGCAGCAGATGAGCCAAGTTCCTGCCACTCATGTAGGTACCCACAGAACCCCAAAGGGGACAGTGCTTCTGAGACATGAGGCAGACAGGTCAGATCACATATAATCCACTTGCTGGTGATGTAGGATCATAATTTTGGGGTGATGAGACCCTGGACCTGATATAGGCATTGCAAATACTTGAAAGTAGAACCAGAAAGAAGAACAAGGGGCTTACAAAGTGGCACCTGGCTGTCACGCTGGGAGCTGCCAGCTTGGAGTTAGTTATAGTTTAGGTATCCATCACACTCCCCATGTAGCACCTCTCCCTGCTTCCTGCTGGAAGTGACCTTAGAGCACGCTGGTCCTTGAGAGTGTGGCCAGCATACCAGCAGGTCTTACTGCATGAGGACCAGTCTTGGAATTGCAGCTTTAGTTACTAGGTGCACAGCCTGGTCCCAGGACTGATTGTTTTGTTTGTTTGGGGTTGTTGTTCTTTTAAAGTCAAATATAAGTGTGACAAGCCCTTTTCACCAGTTGTGACATATGGCTCCTGACTTCTTTTCTTTCTTGATAGGCTTCATCTACAGCATTCCTTAAGGAGTCCTGCACAGGGACATTGAATGTCCCTCTCGCTTCCCGGAGGGAGGTGCTTCTACTCTGGAATGCTTTCTAGCAGTTCCCAGGGGACCTCTTCTCTGCATGTGTGTGGCCTGGCAGAGCCCATCAGGGCCACTGCTGCTTCTGATTCCATGTCACGGATGCCCAAACAAGCCAGCAGTTTATTCTTGGGATGAAGTGAAAGCACAGCATCCCAAAGGGGTGGCAGAATTTTTAGTAGATATGTGAGATATGATTGCGCACTATGAGAAATGTGCCCTGGGAAGATTTACCATTCTGTCTCTGTCCACTCATGGTGAAGGCGCAATCTGGGTAGGACCAGCAGGTGTGGCATTTGGCTCATTTCCAACTTGTACTTTGTTTTGGTGTGGAACTCGTGGTCTGTCTCTGCCCACAAATGGACTACAAAGGGAGAAAGTGAGATTGATTTGTATGTAACCTGAGCCAAGGTGCTATGGGTACCTATCCAGCCTCTGGGTGCCAAACCAGTGCTAGGCCTCTAAGCACCGCTCAGGAGGTACGTGTGTACACCTGAACTCTGAGTTTTCCCTGTTGTCTACAGGGAGAAATCTGTCCCTCTGTGAGCTTGTCGCCCTACCTGGCCGCCAGGCAGAGAGCAGTGACTCCCCTGGGTGTTGTAAGGACTCATTAATGCTTCTGACACTGCAAACATGTGGTGCTAAGTGGAGTTCCATGCTGAGACAGTTGTGTTTATGCAGCCTACTTCCTTTCTGCTCTATTGGCTCGTTACATGTTTGCTTTATGTCTATAGTCATTTGAAATTCAATAAAAACAAATTAAACATACAAAGTGAAAACATGCAAACATAAGGTAGTCCATGGTGCTCGGATTGGGCAGAGCGTCTTCCACATGGCTCTCCCCGGGGTCCTCTGCCCTGGAGGTAGAGGCTCCTTGCCACTGCAGAAGGCAAGGCAGAGAGGAAGGGAGTGCTTCGGGGGACATTGGCAGGAAGCTGTTCCCTATCCTCATGTACAAGGAGGCTTCCCATGGGGGTGGAGGCCTGCAGGGCACGTGGCAGGGAAGGAGCCCCTTGGGGAAGGATGAGAGCTTGTAGTAGGAGTGTCTGGGAAGGGAAAAAGCAACCCTAATCTGGATTAGCAAAGGGTGGGAAAAACAAAAGCTTTGGCTCTGACTTTGTGAGCAGCCCCCGAGAGCTTTATATTTTCTTATGTGTGCATGTGTGCATGTTCATTTATTTAAAAGTGGTCTTCTTTGCCTACATGTAAGGATATATGGGTTCACCCACTTTCATTCCCTTTCTAACCCTCTCTCTTTTTCTCTCCCTCTCTGCCTTCTTAGTTCTTTCCATCTCTCTTCTGGTCTTTTCCTTTTCCTTTCTTCTTTCTGTG